AGCAGTCCAGTGATAATCCTTGAGTAGCACACCAGTATTCCGTTGTTCTGTTAGGGGGGTAGAAACGGACAGACTTAGGAGCTGCGTAGTACCTGATATATAACAACAACTGTAGGAAACAACAATGATGCTTTATATTTGACCAAAGAGCTATTCTATACTACAGACATTTCTGTAAAAATCCTACTGGAAGGCCCTAGTCCCTAGATATGGTGCCTACTTGGAAGACCTAGAACCTTTTTTTAGGGACTGGCTAATGATAAAGTCCAAAGTAAACAAAACAACAAGACAGTCTACTAACAACAACAATGTTCAGGGGCTAGAATATTCACCTTGGTATTTTTTTTCCTGTAGTCCGATTTACATCAGAAAGTTACGTTAATAAGCATCAAAATAACATAATGGTGATGTGCTAGGGTAGGTTGGAGAATAAATCCCCAAGAGAGTTAATGCGACTGAAATACAGAAAATCTGACTGACCCTACTTTTTCTTCTGGTAGTATCACTTTGCATATCTTTGTTCTGATCCTCTATTAGCAACTGTAATACTTGAATTCATATAGCAACCTGATTTCTACAATTTCAAAGTGGGGATGGGGTAGGTACGAAACTTACTGTAACAGTTATTACAACGACTAATTAACATTAGTGAAAGTCTTACTCAAAGTCTTTTCTCCCTGAAGGCAAATTTATGTGAGAAACTAGCACCAAAGAGACACCTCAAGGGCAGGAAAAAGGCAGGTTAACAGGTGCAAGTGCCATCACATCTGTCTGCACAGTAGAACACCTTTCCACTCGGCCAAGGTGGCAACACTGCCAGTTTCTCTCCCCAACCACTGTGGCCACAAAGCCCTTTCCTTTCCTTCCTTTGGTATATTATTGACTCAAAACACTTTCAGAACTATATCAGCTATAGGGGAGAAAACAACCCTATCTTTGATTTGTACTGATTCTTTATTAAATCTTGTTGTTAAGTGCTGTCAAGTTGGTTTCTTTATAGGGCTCAGGGAACAAAGGAAATCTCCTCCCACAGCCATGACTGATGTTAGCAGCCATGCATCATATACGCATGCTGGGCCTACACAAAGCAGAGAGGGAGCTACTGTAGACAGGAAAGTGTACAGTATGAGGCTCTTGGGGTATGAGATCACAATCAGGTGACCATTAAGGGCTGTGTCCATGAATGTTCCTGTGAGTAAAGTGGCCTCAAATTTACTTCTAAATATACCTTGTTTCTAACTCTGGCAGTTCACTTGACTGAGGTGCATGAAGTACTCAAGTAAAATTAGCATCTGAACATTAAACCTAAGCACAAGATGAAATTAAGCTCTGCTAGACTGCAGTTGCTCTACAGCAATCACACACTGTCAACTTCCTTGTCCAATTGGATCTCCATCTCTAATTTATTCTGAGGTGCTTCTGGGTAGACTCAAATGTTAACTATCTGCACCACTCAGGAACTCCTTGGTGGCAAACTGACTGGTAATTTTAGGAGTAACTTGATGTCACTCCCATGAACCTCCTGTATCCCTGAGCTTGGAATAGGCATTCTTGCTAACCCATCAGTAAAAAGCCAGAATTTGGGAAAATTAAGTAAGACATTCTGCACCCCACCTCTTCTATGAGTCACACAAATCCTGACTGGATAATCACCAAATACTTCACCTGTAGGTATGAAGGGAGAGAGTCTTTCCAGCTTTTACCATGGTGAAGCAAGAGACATGGTAGCCAAGGGTTGCTTTCTCTAGTCCTTTTCCTAAAAGTTCTTCTGAAGTCATGGCCCAGGTGCTTAACAGCAAGGAGATGTAGGAGAGGGGAAGGCAGACAAGTAAAGGCAACAAGGCAAATGAAGCTCATGGAAAAGGGTACCTGCCGTATTTTATGTCTTCTAAGGAGCTCTGGTAGCGTAGTGGTTACGAATCGGGCTGTGAACCTTAAAGTCAGCGGTTCGAAACTACCAGCCGCTCCACAGGAGAAAGATCAGGCTTTCTACTCCTGTAAAGATTTACACCCTCGGAAACCCTGTACGGGGTCGCTATGGGTCGGAACCGACTCCATGGCACTTAACAACAACAACAACAAGAGTGGTTCCAAGTGTGCCTCTCCCATTTTCAGTTACCGGCTCAGTTCCAAAACCTCCTCTCAAACTCACCACTATGTTATGCTCGTCGACGCCCTGAGACAGAACTTCATGCTTCTTTTTTTTCTCTTTGTATTGCCACATGTGATTCCAACTTCTGGAGATTTCTTCTTTCCCCAAATTAGCCATGGAATGGAAAGGAAAGACCACTCACTGCCACTGAGTCAATTCTGACTTACAGAGACACTGCATAGGGTTTCCAAGGCTGTAAATCTTTATGGAAGCAGAAATCCTCCTCTTTCTTCTTCAGAGCAGCTGGTGAGTTTGAACTGCCAACCTTGTGGTTGGCAGTCCAGTGCTTATCTGACAGCACCACCAGGGCTCCGTGGAAAGAACAGAAAGAGGCTTAAGAAATGAAAACAGCAATAGGGAATAATAAAGCAGAAGCTTTTTGCACTCTACCAAAGTATAAAAATATTTTCAATTACTTCCACTAGAATTAAAATGAACCTGGATATAAAACAGTAAGGGCTAACCTTTGCAACCTCCCTAGTATCATCACCAAACTTTTCTGAGCTAATGACAGCCACTATAGTCAGATATATTATCATTAATATAGAAGGAACAAGCTAGAAACCCATATTCTGTTTCTAAAAAATTAACTACTCTACCATTAAGAGTTCTGGTGTGGCACTTTAGGATAAGCACTTGACAACAATGTTGGTTTGAACCGCTAGGGCAGTGGTTCAATCCCACAAGCCGCTCTTCAGAAACCCTATAAAGGGTCATTATGAGTCAGAACCAACTCAGTGGCACTTAACAATAACCACCACCAGTTAACAGATATAAACTTAAGAGATTATGCTTTTTAAAAAAAGTATTCTGGACAATTTTAGAAAACGTCTTTATAAACCGTATTTTAAATAAATGATTTACAAGAATATACAGTAAGAATAATACACAAAGTAGAGTGCATGCTACTTTGCTTATTAAGTTTTCCATCCGTGTCAGGTGCTATAGGATAAACACTGAACTGCTAACTGCAAGACAGATGGTGTTATTAAGTGCCACCAAGCTTGTTCTGACTCAAAGCAACCCTGTATAGCAGGGGTTGATGATGTTGTTAAGTGCCGCTGAGTCAGTTCTGATAGTGACCCTGTACAGGGTTTCCAAGGAGTGGCTTATGAGTTTGAACCTCCGATTTTACGGTTCAAACTGACCCTGTGGTCCAGTGCATTATCTTACAGTACACCATGACTCTATAGCAGGGATGGAGAATTTTTGTTCCTGCCAAAATTTATAACATCATTCACAGGCCATACAAAATTATCAACTTAAAAACTAGCCTGCTATATTTGCCAAAACATTGAATTAATGCACCCCTAATGTGATGGCTAGAGTCCTGGTGAGGTGCTGTGGGTTAATGTGCTAGACTGCAAAGCCGTTTGATCTGAAAGGCCGGCGGTTCAAGCTCACCAGCTGCTCCTCAGAAACCCTATACAGGGTTGCTATGGGTGGAAACTGACTTGACAGCACTTTACAACAACAACAATGTGATGGTTGAAACTGGGAATGTCTTTGCAGGCCTTATGTGGCCCATGGGTCAGATAGTCCCCCCATCCCTGCTATATAGGCTTTTGAAATCATTGCAGGAGCAGAAAGTCTCATTTTCCCATGGAGCAACTGGTTGGCTCAAAATGCAAATCTTGTGGGCCAACTTTGTGGTTCCGTAGTCCACTGCAATGTAGACAGTTCAAACATATCAGCTGATCCTCAGAAAACCTATACAGGGTCACTGTAAGTTGGAACCAACTCAATGGCACTTGACAACTGTATCAAAACTGTATCAAAACCTAGCAGTTCTCTAAACTGTGATAGTAAGGATAAGAGTTTACCCAGTTTACTTCAGTGCCAGTTACAGAAGAATAGTCAAGCAAGAAACCAAGGCTGTAATAATGGTTCCAAAATGGCAAAATTTTTAATGATAATTAGATACTAGATCTTATTAAGCAAAATACTGATGTTGTAACAGAGGAATAAACATTGTTTATTTCTAAACTTCAAGGTATAACCTAGCTCTGACTAGAAATTTTAAATTTAGAAGTGGAACTGAGAATGAGTTATAATTTTGAGGAAATTACCTGGGAGAGATTTTCATTTAAGTCCTTAGAAAAATAACTGTACCATCTTTTCTCAATTGAGAAAAGTAAACCTGTCAAATTGCATTCTTAATAATGAGAAACATTAACTACTAGGGTATGAAATTCTTATAAGAAAGCCTCAAAATTTCAAAAGAAAAAACCAAACCAAACAAAAAAAAAACCCCACCCAATTCTATACTGCTCTCTAAAATGTTCTAATCACTTGCAGAATTACAATATAATAGCAAATAAAAGTAATCATTATTTATACAGAAATGCAGTAAGTGGCTAAAATTCTAGCTAAATAACTTGCCCAGAATTTTATGACCAGATAAAATTGAGTTTTAAGCTTCTAACTTCAACAATACATTTTAAACATTTACATTCAATGGTATAGAACAAAGCCCACTTCATCTTGAAAATAACAAGTCCACTTAGAGAAGCACAGACACACATGCTTGTGTGCCCAGCAATCTCAATGACTCTGTGGCACATTCACTAACAAAACTGAGCAAGTCAGAACACTTGGGAAGAGTTCAGCTGCTCCAACAAGTCAGAGTTGAATTCTCAGAACATTATTTAAAAGTAGATTACTTAGACAAAAGTTTCAACTCACTCTTATATATACAAAGATTCATCTGTCAGAGACAGCAACTGTTGAATCTGTACACTGGAGTTTCTGGCAGCATCCTGCACATAGAATATGTAACATACACAAACAAAAAGCTGTTGAATCTCTAAGATGAAACATAGCTGTTTTGTTGCCACTGCACATGTGCTCACTGCTGCTTCTCAAATGCGAAAACCAAGTAAATACCTGCAAGAGAAAACAAATGAAAGTTATTAGAGCTTGGTTTCTCATATCTCATATCTAATATCTAATTTCTCAACAAATTAAATCCCAGTCTTGTCCACATAATTTGTTGAAATTTTTTAGGCTCTCAACCAGCCTTTGAGGAAGAAAAAGAGCCTTTAATTTAAGAGTTAACCAGTTATTCAGTTATATTTAAGCAGACATGGAATCATATATATTTACTTGAAAGCAAATAGCCACATACTATAATATTCAGTAACATCGCAGCTTATAAATAATCCAATTCAACAACTCTAAAAAACTCTAAAAGCAGTTTGAGATAAGAAAAATTAAAGTTTAAAAGCAAATAAAATTGAACTACAAAAATCTTACCATTCAAATCTTTTTACCCATAGTGAGGTACATAGGTAGAATAACTGCACTATAATGAATTCTACTGCTAGTTGTACTCTAATATTTCTATTCAGCAGAAAAATAGTAAGAGGGAATATAAGAAACATATATAATGTATATATACCAACTCATCCAATTGTTGTATTGCAGGGAAAGTGAGCCAAAAGCCATATGACAATCAATACTTAGAGATAATATTTATCTGATTCCAACAGGAAGATCCTTGAATGCAGTGGTTCCCAAGAGGGTCATTTAAAATCACTAATGAGGCCCTGATAGTGCAATGGATAAGTGCTGCAGTGCAGTAAATTACTTCATATGGATCTTCTACCTCATAGTCTTTGTAATTCCCACCAAACAACTTTCTTTCCAGATGGGTCTGGGTAAGACAAGGTGCGGGAAGATGCTGCAAGAATTATATGATTCAATTGTGAGTCACTATTAACTGTTAATTAGGACTGTAAAAATTTGGAGCTCAAGCAAGGATATTGGTTGATTTTAACATCCTGTTGGGTATAAAAGAAGCCGACTCAGAAGTAGGAGGGAAGGGTGGGGGAGTGAGGGAATCCCACTACCAATAAAAAAGGAGAGCCAAGAGTGAGGTGTGTCCTTTGGACCCTGGATCCCTGCATACTGAATCATCTTAATCCAGAAGACATAGCTGTGACACCAGAAAAATGGCTGCAGAGTGCCAGCAGCACTACCAAGAGCCAGAGCATGAAACAGAGTGGTGAGCTTCCAGGCCCATGGAGCAACTAAAATTAAGTACTATCAGGCAGGAAACTTGCTTGTGGAATAGAGTGATTCAAGGTACTTGAGGGAACTAGGATTGATGCCAATGCTTGTCTTTCAGATTACTTTGCTACTGTGGTTTGTGTGTTGCTTGCTGTGCCACTGATAATAGAAATACAAATAAGGTTATTCATGTTGGACAGGTTTCAGTGGAGCTTCCAGACTTAGATAAGAAAAAAGAGGCAGACTATTTCTGAATGCTTAGCCTCTTAAAACATGTGTAGCAGTGGAACACTGATAGATACAGTACCAGACAATGAAAACATTACGAAAAGCACTAGAATATTTTCATATATAGTGTCGGAAGATGAGACCCTCTGGTTGGAAAGCATTCAAAATAAGATTGGAAAAGAGCTGCCTACTCAAAGCAGAGTTGACCATAATGACATAAATGGAGTAAAGCTTCCAGGACCTTCATTTGTTGATGGGGCAGAAGTCAAAATGAGGAGAAACAACTGTAAACATCCATTAATAATCAGAACATGAAACATCCAAAGTAGGAATCTGAAACATTGGAAGTTGTTAAAAATGGAATAAACATTAGTATCCTAAGCATCAGTGAGCTGAAATAGATTGGTATTGGTCATTTTGAATCTGACAAAACATAGTTTTCTATTCTGGGAATGACAAATTGAAGAGGAATGGTGTTGCACTGATTGTCAAAAAGAACATTTCAAGATCTATCTTGAAGTACAATGCTGTCTGTGATAGAATAACATCTATATACCTACAAGGAAGACCAGTTAATAGTATTATTATTCATATTTACACACTAACAACTAAAGTCAGTGTTGATGAAATTGAAGAATTCTATCAACTTCTTCAGTTTAACATTGATCAAAACATGCAATCAAGATACATTGGTAATTTCTGGGGATTGGAATGCAAACGTTAGAAAGAAAGAGGAAGGAAAAGTGGAAAATATGGCCTTGGTAATAGAATGGATGATGGAGCTTGCATGACAGAATTTTGCAAGGCTAATGAATTGTTCATTGAAAATACCTTTTTCCAACATAAAAGATGACTAAACACATGGACCTCACTAGATGGAATACAAACTTAAGTCTTTCAACAAACTGATGCACTTCTGGAGGCAATCCCTCATCTATGCTAAGAAATTTGGAAGACAACTATCTGGCCAACTGACTGGAAGAGGTTCATATCTGTGCCCATTCTAAAGAAATGTGACCAAACAGAGTGCAGAAATCTATAATTAATACTGCATACAAGCAAAATTTTGATAAATTCAAAAACAGCTGCCAATAGTACACTGACAGGGAACTGCCAGATGAGGCCATGCAACAAGGGATGAAATTGCTGATGTAAGATGGATCTTGGGTGAAAGCAGAGAATACTAGAAAGATGTTTATCTGTGCTTTATTGACTACACAAAAATTTTCGATTTTGTGGATCATGACGAGCTATGGACAACACTGTAAAGTATGAGTATTCCGGAATACTTAATTGTGCACCTATATATATAGATCAATTTTTCAAAGGGAACTTTAGGAAAGGTGTGTGCCAGGATTACAGTCTTACACAATACTTATTTAATCTGTATGCTCAGCAAACAATTCAAGAAGCTGCAGTATGTGAAGAAAAACGTGGCATTAGAGTTGGAGGAAGACTCATTAACAACCTGTGATATGTAGATGATACAACCTTCCTTGAGGAAGAGAAGAGGACTTAAAATACTTACTGATGAAGAGCTTTTGGTGTATGGGTTGCACCCTATGTAAAGAAAACAAAAATCCTCACCACTGGGCCAGTAAACAACATCCAAATAAATGGAAAAATGATTGAAGTCAAAGACTTCATTTTGCTCAGATCAATCATCAACACTCATGAAAGCAGCAGTCAAGAAATCAAACAGTGTATTCCACTAGGTAAATCTGCTGCACAAGACCTCTCTAAAGTGTTAAAGAGCAAAGATACCAGTTTGAAGACTAAGGTGTGCCTGGCCCAAGCCATGGTATTTTAAATAACCTCATATGCATGCGAAAGCTGGACAGTGAATAAGGAAGACCGTACAAGAATTGATGTATTTGAGTTATGGTGTTTGAGGCGATTATTAAAAGTAGCATAGACTGCCAAAAGAACACACAAATTCTGTGTTGGAAAAAGTACAGCCAGAATGCTCCTTAGAAGCCAGGATGGCCACACTTTGTCTCTCATACTTTGGACACATTATCAGGAGGGACCAGTCACTGCAGAAGGCATCATTCTTGGTAAAGGAGAGGGTCAGTCAAAATGAAGAAGACCCCCCCAATGAGATGGATTGGCACAGTGACAGCAACAATGGGCTCAAATGTAGCAAAGACTGTAAGGTTGGCACAGGACTGAGCAGTGTTTCATTCTGTTGTGCAAAAAGTTGCTATAAGTTGATACCGACTCGACAGCAGCTAACAATGATGAACACATTAGTTTAAAATATCATAATTATTCAAAGAGTGAATTGATCCTCGAATATTAGATTTTGGCTGAAATTTGGCCACTGTTCTTTCCTTATTGCTTTTTATATTTTTAAGCCATCACCTTCTCAATTGTCTGGGACTACCTAATTCTTTGCTTGCATATTATGACAACATTATGGAATCCTGATGTGGTGCTGTAGGATAAGCAGTGGACTGCAAACTGCAAGTTTGGCAATTTAAACCCACCAGTCACTTCTGGGGAACCCTATAAAAGGAAATCCTATACAGGGTTGCTATGGATCAGAACCAACTTGATGGCACTTAACAATAATGAGTGGAAACTGACTTGACGGCACTTAACAATATCATAGTATGACTAACGTGTATTTTAATATAAAAATAAAGCTCTAGGCAATAGCCAATATCACCACCACCATAATTTTTGACCAATTTTTTCCCTTACACCATCATTTGGAACTGGAGGGTACCTAAGACAGATGGCCAATCTCTCTACTGTTGAGAAAAATAATGAAACACGTAGCCTTATGCACACACTTCCTAGTTCAGTTTGTGAAAAAGACTATGTACCCTACTCCCATTAATGTTACCATTATATGAGACAATTAAGCCCCAAATTGGTACTATTTGTCTTCCTTCTTTTCAACTTCATCCCATTCAGAAACTATGGCTATGGCTAAGAGTATGGATTATACAGTCAGACCACTTGCGTACCTTAGCCAAGATCTCTATGACCTTAGCCAAGTTACTCAACCTCTTTCTCACTTATGAAAAAGTTATTATAAATAATAGTCCACTCATCAAGTTCTTACAAAAATTCACTGATTTACTACATATGAAAATCTTAGAATAGTGACTGGCACATGTTAACTATACAACAATAAAATTACTATTTTCCAGATTTCACTTGTTTTCATTAACTCTCTCACCTTTTCCTTTTACACATCTTTTAACTCTTTGCCTAGTAACAAATTTACTTGTGGCTGTTTCTTCCAATAGATCGTACACTTCCAGAAGGAAGACCTGTTTAATTTTTTATCCCTCAAAGTCCTTTAAAAAAACTTTAGGAAACCAATACTCAATTGTTTACCAAATGGACTGTCCTTGATTACCATTTGTGCCTTCATTAAATAAACAACTGTTTACATGAATGGAAATAATCCTTTAGGACCCCTGGGAAGCCACTATTGTTAACTGCTGTTGAGTGAATTCCGACTCAGAGTAATCCTATATAGGATAGTTTCCAAGGAGTGGTTATTGAGTCTGAACACCCTTACAGTTCAAACCAACCTGTGGTCCACTGTTTACAGCATCACACCAGAACTCTAGGGAAACTGTACAAGGGAATTATCATCATGGTAACAATGAGGTTCTGGAAGATGACTTTCTCAACATAAATCTGTAGATGAATTACAGTGCTTCAGATTGGCAAGCAGGTCTTCTAACTTCTCTTCCTCAGACAAGTGCTTTACTTCAAAATGTTTTTGTATCATGCCTGTTCCCAACCACACAAACCTATAAAATATCCTGCTAACTGCTGCTTCCAGTACGGCAATATAGGATGAGCACCGGACTGCTATCTGCAAGGTCAGCAGATCAAACCCAAAAGACACTCCTCAGAAACCCTACACAGGGAGGCTATGAGTCAGAACCAACTCAATAGCACTTAACAACAATTGCTGCTTCAATAAATTTTCTAATAGTATGCTTTCACGGTATCAGGGTGACCAGAAACAAAATAAATGAAAGTATTCCAGAAACCAAAACTCCAATAGAAATTTGAGATACAGATATCAAATAACTTTAATAGTAAATAATAATAATATTAAAAACAGCTGCTGTTCAGTAGACTCTAATTATGTCAGAGTAGAATTGTTCCTTACCAGGTTGGCAATTCAAGTACATACTGAGGTACCTCTGGGTAGACTTAAATTACCTTTTGGTTAGCAGTTTGGTTAGCAGTTTATCATTTGCACAACCTAAGAATTCTTTAATAATGCTGTGGGTAGCATAGTGGTTATGAGTAGGGCTGCTAACCTCAAGATTAGCAGTTTGAAACTACAAGCTCTTCCATGGGAGACAGATGAGGCTTTCTGCTCCCATAAAGATTTACAGCCTCGGAAACCCTGTGCAGGGTTGCTATGAGTTGGAACTGACTCCACGGCACACAACCACCACCACAACCAGACAATGAAATATTTAATTATATTCTTGAAAATTAATGGTGAGCAACATTCTGCATATACTTGCCTTGGTACTAAGTACCTGTTAAGAAATGAGAATTAAAGACATATAAAAATGTAGATAATATATATCAGAAAAATTCTAGAATTTTCAAGGATTTGAAACAAAACCTTTAATAACGTCAGTAAACCTACAATGATGATTACTCACTTGTAGCTTCCCATTCTGATTTACTTAAGGTTCCCTAAAATAAAAAAGAAAGATTTAGATACATTATGCTATTTTTAAATGATAAAGGATAGAGTTAACCAAAAAACTCAACCTTACTGTAAATAAATATACAATATTACTATTATTGTGATTTGAACATATAAAAGAAATCAATGAAATTAACTTTCAATGCCATATTCTACTAATTTTGTCATCTTGCCAAGTTCTCTAATCTATTCATTCTAAAATAAAGGGCTAATGTGGGTAAAAAGAACATTTATATACGTATACAAAGGAGTCCTTGTAGTGCAGCTGCTTATTAGAAAGCCACTCTGTGGCAGAAAGATGTAGCAGTCTGCTTCCATAAATATATCTATCCTTGGAAACCCTATGGGACAGTTCTACTCTGTACGATAAAATTGCTATGAGTCCAAATTGACTTGATAGAAATGGGTTTGGGGGTATGGGTGCATGCGTGCATGCAACTGGAAAAAGCATGTCCCCCGTATATAATGTTTTTAACAGGAAAAATTAAAAACTTAAGTCTTATCTTAAAACATTAAAGTAACATAGGAAGGAATATGATTTTTGTTTTACCAAAGTAATCACAAAATAAAGTGGACATCATACCAAAAAATATTAAAAGTGAAAACAAAATCACTTGTGATATAGCAACATATGTACTGCTTTATTAATTCACTGGAACCCTGGTGTGGCATTATAGGATAAACACCAGACTGCTATCCACAATATCAGCAATTCAAATCCACCAGCTGCTCCATGGAAATCCTACACAGGGTTATTATGAGTAGGAACCAACCTGATGGCACTTAACAACAATTAACACATTAAAAAAAAAAAAAAAAAGATCTATTGGTAGCTCTAGTATCTGATACAACTTTGAAGATATGAAGGTATTTCCCCCTATCTAAGTTCGTGAGCCCCTGAACTCTATGAGACACTTGTGAGTACATGGACTGGTCATTAAGAAGCCCTGCACTAGGGCAGACAAATTGTCAAACCCATCTAGAACATTTCCCATCCATATACATATGATATAGGACTCTAGTCTGAGCTCAATAAAGTACATTTTATTCTATACCCATGGCTAAAGCAGTTACAATTTAGGGAAAACAAACTGAAGTGGATCTGATTTAAAGAATTAAGCCATTGAGCCTGAGGATTAAAAAACAGTGAAATAGTCTCCTGAGTCGTCATATAATGTATGCTTCTTTCCATTTTTTATAAATACTTTAAATAAAAATAATACTTACCAAAGGTAATCTTGCCTGACTGTTTTTCACATATTCTGCTGCATGCTCATAGTCATCCACTTTCTCAGAGACAAGTTTGGAATTCTCATTTGCAGGATATGGCTAGGGAAGCAAGTGAAATTTCTTGCTATTTCATACAAAATTTCAATTTAGAATTAAAAACAAACACTGAAGTAAAACAATTTAGGCAATAATCCCTAAGTATTACTCTAAGAAGACAAACTACACACATTTTTGAACAATGGGGGGAATAAATGGAGGGGAATACTGTTTCTTAACAAAGTAGCTGTCGTCATAATTTTAGACTATTTATATAGGCTAGAATAAATTAAAAACTGCAATCACCAATACAGTTCTCTCTCCCCTCCACAGAAGCAACTTGCATATCCCATCACTCTCATGCCCCCTTGCCCCTGGATCAGGTCTCCTGTTACACTACAAAGCCTAAAGGCAGCCCTTGGAAAGAGCTAAACAGGAAAGAACAGGATGGTCATGTAATAGCCTAGAAAAGCATTAACAGACACGAAAAATAGTATATACAAAAAACTTGAGTCAACATAGAGCCTTGCTTAAGAGAACAAAACTTGTGAGTTCAAAGAAATAAGGAAAAGAATGCAGCTTTTAAGATGCAGGCAGTGTTGTATTAATACAAGAAGCTAATGAAGAATTAATGTTTTTAAGCCTATGCTAGCGAATGTTGATTCAAATTACGTCAAGCACCATTATAATCATTTATCTAACATTTCTTTATACCATGAAATACACTGGAATGCATGTAGATATGTAAAAACACAGGAAATTAGATATCAAATGTGTTTTTTCTTTATATTACCTTTGTCCTCTTGCACTAAATCAGCTTCAAGGACACTTCAAAAATTTTCTTCAAGGACTGACAAAGCAACCTATATCTCCTTGAGGGATTTCTTAAGAAAATGAATCAGGGATGTCTACTTTATTATCTTCTTTCCCCCTTTCCTTTGTAAATATCCTACAGCAAGCTCATATATTAGACATTAACGTGGTTTGCCATTTAAAAGATATTTGACTTTTTGGACTTCAAAATTGTTAGCATTGGCAACTTTACTTTTTAAGATACTTTAATACAAAGAATCAGAAACAATCTTTGGAACTTCAAGACCACATGTTGTATTTTCACAATGTCATAAAGCTTTAAAGTCTTATTTGGAAAGGTTATTAAACTATTCTGTTGTAAATTTGTTCAACTCATCAGTGTAAAACTCCTCTGTATTATTATTTGCCTATCACTGAAATTCTTGCTTTTCTCCTCTACTGATCATTTTAAAGGATCAAACAATATATGGTTATAAAGTACAAAACTGATTATAATTTCAAAACTTGTTACTAGAACATGTATATGTTCAGATTAAGTGCTTCTTTTCAAAAGAGTTACCTTCCAGAACTATTACCAAAGTAAGTTTACTGGTGAAAAATAGAGATTAGGTGCAACACTTTGCAACTATAGTTTTTGGCTTGTTAGCTTTTCTTTCTTCCTTCTTGCTGCTACAATGCTCCAGATAAACTAGAGAAAAGTTTTACTTGTTTTACTGATGAAACCCTGCGCCAACTAAAGGCTGAAGGCTTCAGGAAAAGACTTTCCATTTAAATCTATCACCTGGACTAAAACAGTAGCATCCTCACTGTTCTACTTGTAGTTTTAAAATCTTGTTAAGCCAGCTTCCACACTGCAACCAAAATAATGCTTCTAACACATCATGTCACTCTCCAGTTCAAAATTCTTTAAAGGCCTAAGGAAGTGACTTGGGGTCGAAGTAGGAAAAACTAAAGAACTTCTGCAAACTATACGCTATTACTGCGTGTGTCCCTGTACAGCACTGATGTTAACTTTTATTCCTTGAGTGCAGTGCTGTAGCAGAAAGAAGACTAAGAACCACTGAGCTAAAGAATGCTGAAAAGTACCAGTAGTTCCTTGGGTCCATTATCTTGTAATTCCATTTTTCCATGAACTTTTTGAAGCCCACTAGTACTTTGACTATTTCTTCATTATGGTAATTCTCTTGCTGTATGGAAATAAATTATTTGCTTGTATGTTAATCTCCTCACTATACCATAAGACCTTTGAACAAAAGGGACATTGTTATATTTGCATATCCTACTATTAAAGAAAGGAGCTCTGGTAGTGGTTACGAATCGGGCTGCGAACCTTAAGGTCAGCGGTTCGAAACTACCAGCCGCTCCACGGGAGAAACATGAGGCTTTCTACTCCCGTAAAGATTTACACCCTCGGAAACCCTGTACAGGGTCGCTATGGATCGGAACCGACTCAATAGCACTGAACAACAACAACACTATTAAAGAGTATTTTTAAAATAAATTAACTTACATCAACTCAACAACAACATGCATAGCGAAAGTTTCACAAAATGTTTACTATACATGCAAAGAACTATCAAATAAGGCTGATAAACTTCATAAGCCACTACTTGTCTGTCAGTCTGTTATGCTGTGGTGGCTGGTATTTTAAATACCAGCACGATTACACATGGTGGACAGGTTTCAGCAGAGCTTCTAGACTCATGAATAGCAGTGAACATCATCAAATGTAGTGAGTTCCTTAAGTTAGGAGGTAACCAAAATACAACTGAGGAAGAGCTGCCTTCTCAAAGTAGAGCTGATCATAATGACGTGAATGTAACAAAGCTTTTGGTACTTCATTTGCTAACAGGGCACAACTCAAAATGACAAGAAACAGCAGAAACATCCATGAATAATCAAAACAGAATGTACAAAGTATGAATCTAAGAAAACTGGATTTCTTTAAAAACTAAATGGAATGCATAAAGAGCAATATCCTAGGTCAGGGGTGGAAAACGTTTGGCCCACAGGTTGTGTAAGGCCCACAAAATCATTTGGTATTGCACAGCTAAGGCAACCTTAGTTCTAGCCATCACATTGTTTTAGCTGTCATCGAGTTGGTATTGACGTTTAGCTCTCTGTGTACAACAGAATGAAACATTGTTCAGTCCTGTGCCAAATTCACAATTGTTGCTACACTTAGCCCGTTGTTGCTGGGGGTCCATATCTTTTTCTTGTACACTCCATTTAACCAAAAATGGTGTCTTTCTCCAGGGATTGGTCCCTCTTGATAATATGTCCAAAGTATTAAAGTCTGGCCATCCTGGAGCATTCTGGCTGCACTTCTTCCAACACAGATTTTTTTCCCCAAATAACAGTCCATGGTTCCTTTAATATTCTTCTCTAACATCGTAACTCAAATGCATCAATTTTTGTATGGTCTTTCTTATTCATAGACAAAATTTCACATGCATACGAGATTACTGAAAATACCATGGCTCGGGTCAGGTGCACCTTAGTCCTCAAACTGACATCTTTGCTCCTGAATATCTTAAAGAGGTCTTGCACAGATTTGCTCAATGCAACATGCTATTTGACAACTTCAATCTTTTCTCAATTTATATGATGTTGTTTATTAGTCCTATGTTGAGGATTTCTGTTTTCTTTGAATTGAGATACAATCCATACCAAAGGTTGTGGCCTTTGATCATCAATAGTATTTTAAGTCTTCTTCTCTATCAGCAAGGAAGGTTGTATCATCTGTATTTCGCAGGTTATTAATGAGTCTTCCACAAGTCCTGATAATACGTTTTTTCCCCATATACTCCAGCTTATCGAATTGTTTGCTAAGCTTACAGATTGAATAAATATAGTGAAAGAATACAACTCTAGTGCACACCATTCCGAATTTTAAAAGATTTGGTGGGATAACAAACAAGATGGCAGCTTGCGTAGAAGTGCAGTGAGGAGCTCCACCAGCAACAACACAGAATGCCAAGCTAAGCAGGCTCAGGGGATGGTGTCAGAAATCTGAACCACAAATAAAGGAATATTTAGAAGGTTGGAAGGCTTTCAGCTAGGGGAATTTGTAGCAGAAGCAAGAAATCCATTGATTTCTAATTAAAGACACCCAGTCGCTCCAGGAGCCACCATCTTGGGTGATACCAAGCGGGGGAAGGATCAGAGCCACCATGGACGCCTGACAGAACTGCGGAGATAAAGGTGTAGGACATTCTTTTCTTTTGGTATCTGTTCATTGGTCCCTTGCTATCTGTGCACCTCCATTCTGGTGACTATAGGGGTGCCTAAATGAGCAGACACCCCAGCCCCACACTCGGAGGGTTCTCCCACGCATGTGCACAGATCTCCTTGAAATTTAAAGAGACAGTTTCCACTTAAAACAAAATGGCCACAGCTGGCCCTGAACTGTTCATAACTAGAAAAAAGGCCTGAACAGGGATTGTGGAGTGGGACAGGCAGACTAAAAAGGAAATAGGTCAAAAATTAAATCTTAAGTTACATCAAAACGACAAACAGTAGTATCTTGAAATTTCTCAAGAAAAAGAGTGAAAAGGGAAGCCCATTTCCTGATCACATCTACCAAGAGGCAGTCAGAAACCATAAAAAATACACACCCATCTAAGTATTAAGGGCACAGATAATTCCTGAATATGCCCAAAAAACAGAAGCAGATGACCATACCTGCACATGTCCAGAAATAAGATAAAGTGACAGAAGCAAATGAGCTGGAAGTAGACCTACACTCCATACTGGAAGATGGGCAGGCTTTGGAAATGCCTTAGAAGGAATTCAGAAAAATTATTATAAAATGTATTAAAACACTATAAAATGGAGTTGAGAAAAATAAGGAAGAAGCCAGGAAAGCACTACCGGAACAATCAAATAAGATAGATACAGCATTGGAAACAATTCAAAACCTACAGAAAGAGGTCCAGATGATTAATAACAGAATATCAGAAATGGACAATACACTGAAATGGCAAAAGAGTAGAACTGAAGAGATAGACGCCACAACTAGTGAGCTAGAAGATAAATCTCTCAACACTACTAAGATAGAAGAACAAACACAAGAAAGGATAAAAAAAATCTGAAGAAGGCCTAAGATTCATGTTGGACAACATGAAGGGGAATAAATTAAGAATTATTGGCATTCTGGAACAGGAAGAATCAGACAAATTTGAAGAGCTTCTGGAAGAAAATTTTCCTAACATCCTGAAAAGTGAAAAGATAAGCATTCAAGAAGCTCA